GGACAAAAAAATTATTAAAACAAAAGAAAAACTATAATAATAGACTTTCTAAATAATATTGTAGTTTTATATTTAATAAAATTATAAATTTCTGATCTATTTAGGCTATTTAAGGTTAACTCATTTTGCATTATTCTTCTCTGGTTGGAGAAACTTGTTCATGAGTTATGGAAGTGGTGAATGATGTAGATACTTGATATTCAGGTTTCATTATGAAATTTAACGAACGTTGTGCATAGTCATTCTCTTCAATAGCCAACATAAAGAATGCGTGTACTGAGTGTGAAATCTTGATGGTTGGATGAAATCAACACATTAACCAATTTACGCCTCAGCTTCATCCCTGAGTTGAACATCACTAGTATCGTCTCCTCTGTTTTACCTGAAGAAACTAATTCCTATTACCTTTCCCCAATGAGAACAGGCTATGAGAAATGAAGTTGATGCTCTTGCTTCTATTATATGTAACAGCTTATTTCTCCACCACCTGGTGCCAATATTATTGGATGTTGTGTGGTCTATAAGGTCAAACAGAAAGTTGATTTTTTCAGGAACATTATAAATTTCGATTAGTTGCTCATGGTTTTCAATAACAACCTTACATTATTATGCTAGAACTTATAATCCAGTTGTCAAGCCTCTACAGTTCGTTCTGTCTTGTCCATGTTGTTTCTCATTGCTGCCTAATTCATTAAGTTAATGTCAAGAATACTTTTCTTTATGGTGTTCTCAAAAGGAAAGTTCAACCATCCTTCAACCTCTATAATCTAATTGGAATCAAGTGGGTGATGGGGGGTTCAGTGAGGGAGGAACTTTGAGCTTGGAAGGGGTTATGTAAAAAGAAAAATCATTTAAAACTTATCTCTTTAACGATTTTTTGGGTTATTTGGAAAGAGCGTAACAGTAGGGTTTTTGATGGTATTGAGGGGTGGTATGACAAGAATTAGGAATAGATGGTTGCACCTTTTTGGTTCGGTTCTATTAGGTCATGACATGTACAGGTGGGAGGATTTTGGGAATGTCATAGATACAATTACTTCTTTGTAAATATTTTTGCCCATAGGTGGCACCCATTTGGTGCCTATTAATATACCTTTATGCTTTTTATTTTTTTTTTTAAAAACTATCCTTCAACCTCTATAAACAAGACTCTTGAGCTTTATTTCCATGTTTTACATCTTTTCTTTCTACTCGAGGCTTCATCTCAATTCTTGCAGAGACATATGTGTTTATCCAGTGATGGTTCTCAAATGACTATAACCCTGTTAAACGTTGGTAGTACCATTTTCAATTGCTTCTCTTAGTGACTTATTGTGGGATTTACTTTTCAACTTGAAAAAAGTGTTTTCAGTGACCTCTTTTTAACCAAAAAAAGTATGCTATGGATTTGTTTTGATGAAATGAAATGGAGGACTTTAAGCCCCTGTCTACTCCAGTTCAGTCCTCTGGTGAAATCAGGAAAGGTTCTTGTTCCCTGCTTTACGATATTATTTTATGTCGTGGTACTGTTGGAGCCTTGCAATATCTCTCCTTGACTAGCCTCAAGATTTTCATTGCTGTTAATCAAACTTGTCAACATATGCATGAACATGGTGAGGACTATTTTCACGGTTTAAAGTATATATTATGCTACATACTGGATACTCTATATTGTGACCTTCAGCTTTTGTTTGACTGGCCTATGCGTTTAGTAGTACACTTGAATGCAGATTGGGTAGGATGTCCCAAAACCAACTGGTGTATCACGATTTGCTGCATTTTGCGTGGTACCAATTTGATCTTCAAGAAGCAGACTACGGTTTCTTGTTCCATTATGAGGCTGAATATCATTTTTTTTACTGAAATACAGTATGAGGCTCAATATCATGTTATTGCTGCAGTAGACTCTGACTTATCCTCGTTAACAAACATGCTCTTGGAGCTTCATTTGGCTTCATCTGAACCTCCTAGGTTTTAGTGACAATTTCAGCATTAATTTTATGGCTTTTAATCTGGTCAATCATGCTCGTCCTGAGCATATTGAGCTGTGCATTCACTTTGTTTAAGAAAAAACACAAGGAGGACAGTTAGTAGTACGATATATTGTCAGTCAAGATCAGTTAGCTGATATTCGTTGAAGAACTTTTTTCTATAAGGTTCAATCACTTGAGGTCCAAATCTCTGTGTGTTATTGCAGAGCTTCTAGGGGGTGAAGGGATAAAGATATTCTATTCACTCTGTATTATAATTTGTGTTTATAACCATTCTTATATTTCTTTGTAT